TAAGTATTTGAGGTAGATATGTACATGAAGGCAGGGTAAAGTGACTAGGCATCAGGATAGATAATAATAGGTATTTGAGGTAGATATGTACATGAAGGCAGGGTAAAGTGACTAGGCATCAGGATAGATAATAATAAGGTATTTGAGGTAGATATGTACATGAAGGCAGGGTAAAGTGACTAGGCATCAGGATAGATAATAATAAGGTATTTGAGGTAGATATGTACATGAAGGCAGGGTAAAGTGACTAGGCATCAGGATAGATAATAATAAGGTATTTGAGGTAGATATGTACATGAAGGCAGGGTAAAGTGACTAGGCATCAGGATAGATAATAATAAGGTATTTGAGGTAGATATGTACATGAAGGCAGGGTAAAGTGACTAGGCATCAGGATAGATAATAATAAGGTATTTGAGGTAGATATGTACATGAAGGCAGGGTAAAGTGACTAGGCATCAGGATAGATAATAATAAGGTATTTGAGGTAGATATGTACATGAAGGCAGGGGTAAAGTGACTAGGCATCAGGATAGATAATAATAAGGTATTTGAGGTAGATATGTACATGAAGGCAGGGTAAAGTGACTAGGCATCAGGATAGATAATAATAAGGTATTTGAGGTAGATATGTACATGAAGGCAGGGTAAAGTGACTAGGCATCAGGATAGATAATAATAAGGTATTTGAGGTAGATATGTACATGAAGGCAGGGTAAAGTGACTAGGCATCAGGATAGATAATAATAAGGTATTTGAGGTAGATATGTACATGAAGGCAGGGTAAAGTGACTAGGCATCAGGATAGATAATAATAAGGTATTTGAGGTAGATATGTACATGAAGGCAGGGTAAAGTGACTAGGCGTCAGGATAGATAATAATAAGGTATTTGAGGTAGATATGTACATGAAGGCAGGGTAAAGTGACTAGGCGTCAGGATAGATAATAATAAGGTATTTGAGGTAGATATGTACATGAAGGCAGGGTAAAGTGACTAGGCATCAGGATAGATTATACTAAGAGTAAAATAAAGAACAGAGTAGCAGCATATTATGAGCGTAAAAGTGTGTGTATGTTTGTGTGTGTTGGATTAAGGGATGAACCCAATCATCACCAGTCTAACACCAAGGGATCCATACGTGGCAACTGGCTTTAGAAAGTCAGGGTCAGGGGTCAGGGGGAAGGCTGATAACTCAGCAGCAAACTTGGTTCATGCCTCAGTTTTTATTTATCACATGATATCCTGATGAAACATACATCATTCTGAAATACAATAAAACTATAATACTGAAATCAAGACATGGACCACATCAGAATAATGTTACAGTCATTCTGTCTAGAAGAGAAACATGATGATTCTGCTCTGAGGGATTCTAGAACAACATAATGATTCTGCTCTGAGGGATTCTAGAACAACATGATGATTCTGCTCTGAGGGATTCTAGAACAACATGATGATTCTGCTCTGAGGGATTCTAGAACAACATGATGATTCTGCTCTGAGGGATTCTAGAACAACATGATGATTCTGCTCTGAGGGATTCTAGAACAACATGATGATTCTGGTCTGAGGGATTCTAGAACAACATAATGATTCTGCTCTGAGGGATTCTAGAACAACATGGTGTTTCTGCTCTGAGGGATTCTAGAAGAAACATAATGATTTTGCTCTGAGGGATTCTAGAAGAAACAATTATTCTACTCTGGGGGACAGGTTATCCCTGTAAGACCTACACACAGGTCATCCCTTTAAGACAGAGACAGGCAGACAGGTCATCCCCTTAACACCTACACACAGGTCATCCCTTTAAGACAGACAGACAGGCAGACAGGTCATCCCCTTAACACCTACACACAGGTCATCCCTTTAAGACAGACAGACAGACAGACAGGTCATCCCTTTTAAGACCTTTAAGATCTCAAATATACAGATGTTCAATTTTAAAGATAAAAAAATATTATTTACAAAAATATTTTGCTGTGTAAACTTTTCATTTTAATTCCAACCAAAGGCACTCTCTTCTCCACCCCCTGTCTAACCCTAACCCCCTGTCTAACCCTAACCCCCTGTCTAACCCTAATCCCCCGTCTAACCCTAATCCCCCGTCTAACCCTAACCCCCTGTCTAACCCTAACCCCCTGTCTAACCCTAATCCCCTGTCTAACCCTAATCCCCCGTCTAACCCTAATCCCCCGTCTAACCCTAATCCCCCGTCTAACCCTAACCCCCTGTCTAACCCTAATCCCCTGTCTAACCCTAACCCCCGTCTAACCCTAATCCCCCGTCTAACCCTAATCCCCCGTCTAACCCTAACCCCCTGTCTAACCCTAACCCCCTGTCTAACCCTAACCCCCTGTCTAACCCTAATCCCCCGTCTAACCCTAACCCCCCGTCTAACCCTAATCCCCCGTCTAACCCTAACCCCTGTTTAACCCTAATCCCCCGTCTAACCCTAATCCCCCGTCTAACCCTAATCCCCCGTCTAACCCTAATCCCCTGTCTAACCCTAACCCCTGTCTAACCCTAATCCCCCATCTAACCCTAACCCCCTGTCTAACCCTAATCCCCCGTCTAACCCTAATCCCCCGTCTAACCCTAACCCCTGTTTAACCCTAATCCCCCGTCTAACCCTAATCCCCCGTCTAACCCTAATCCCCCGTCTAACCCTAACCCCCCGTCTAACCCTAATCCCCCGTCTAACCCTAATCCCCTGTCTAACCCTAATCCCCCGTCTAACCCTAACCCCTGTCTAACCCTAATCCCCTGTCTAACCCTAACCCCCTGTCTAACCCTAATCCCCTGTCTAACCCTAACCCTACCTAACCCAACTTTAACCTTGACCCCTACCCAACCCTAACCCTTACCATCCAGCCCTGTCGTCTGTCTTCCTCTTTTTAACCTGTAAAATGCTGAAACATGTTGTAACATCTTTCCTCATGCTTCCAGTAGTAGCACACCCATTAGGTTTGTAAAGTCTGTTCCAGTAAATGGTTCCCTTCAACATAACCCTAGAACGCCTCAGGTCCTGATGGCTTCCTTATAGGGGGGTGATAACGTTGGCATCGGTCACTGTGAAACAAGGCATTTCCTTTCCACATTAAAACATAAAACACAAATAAATCCCTTTCATGCTGGACTTTAACACTGGAAAATAAGTGATGATTAAAAACAACTAGAAACAACTTAATGCCCCAACAGTCCATCTCCTCATAGGAGGATCAGTCTGTGACAAGGGTCCACCATGGTTCCATGATGACATCACAGACACCAGGGTTCCATGATGACATCACAGACACCAGGGTTCCATGATGACATCACAGACACCAGGGTTCCAGGATGACATCACAGACACCAGGGTTCCATGATGACATCACAGACACCAGGGTTCCATGATGACATCACAGACACCAGGGTTCCATGATGACATCACAGACACCAGGGTTCCAGGATGACATCACAGACACCATGGTTCCATGATGACATCACAGACACCAGGGTTCCATGATGACATCACAGACACCAGGGTTCCATGATGACATCACAGACACCAAGGTTCCAGGATGACATCACAGACACCAGGGTTCCATGATGACATCACAGACACCAGGGTTCCATGATGACATCACAGACACCAGGGTTCCATGATGACATCACAGACACCAGGGTTCCAGGATGACATCACAGACACCAGGGTTCCAGGATGACATCACAGACACCAGGGTTCCATGATGACATCACAGACACCAGGGTTCCAGGGGTCAGGACTCGTCTCCAAAGGAAGTTGAACCCAACTCTAACTTTCCTCTGTTCACCTGCTGAGTCCAGAAGAGGAGCAGAATATGCAGCACTCTTGTATGGCTGGTCACTCTGCACTCTTAGAATAGAAGGTGCTACCTGGAACCATAAAGTGCTCTTCAATTTTCCCCATAGGAGAACCCACTGACAATAGTTATTTTTGGTTCCAAGTGGAACCCTTTCACTAATACAAGGTTCTACGTTGGAACACTTTCATCACTAAAAGGTTCTAAGTATAACCTTTATCACCACCAAAAAGTTATACCTGGAACTAAAAAGGGTTATCCTATGGGGACAAGAAAAGAACCCTTTTAGAAGCCTTGTTTTTCTAAGAGTGTAGTTGGAGTCAGTCAGTCTAGCAGTGAGTCTGGCCTGGAGTAGCCAAACAGTCTGAAGTCTGGTTCATACAGCCTGTAGAGTTCCCTCCTGGCCACTAGGGGAACCCTGCTGAACCAGTCCTAACCCTAACCCTAAGAGTGTAGTTGGAGTCAGTCAGTCTAGCAGTGAGTCTGGCCTGGAGTAGCCAAACAGTCTGAAGTCTGGTTCATACAGCCTGTAGAGTTCCCTCCTGGCCACTAGGGGAACCCTGCTGAACCAGTCCTAACCCTAACCCTAAGAGTGTAGTTGGAGTCAGTCAGTCTAGCAGTGAGTCTGGCCTGGAGTAGCCAAACAGTCTGAAGTCTGGTTCATACAGCCTGTAGAGTTCCCTCCTGGCCACTAGGGGAACCCTGCTGAACCAGTCCTAACCCTAACCCTAAGAGTGTAGTTGGAGTCAGTCAGTCTAGCAGTGAGTCTGGCCTGGAGTAGCCAAACAGTCTGAAGTCTGGTTCATACAGCCTGTAGAGTTCCCTCCTGGCCACTAGGGGAACCCTGCTGAACCAGTCCTAACCCTAACCCTAAGAGTGTAGTTGGAGTCAGTCAGTCTAGCAGTGAGTCTGGCCTGGAGTAGCCAAACAGTCTGAAGTCTGGTTCGTACAGCCTGTAGAGTTCCCTCCTGGCCACTAGGGGAACCCTGCTGAACCAGTCCTAACCCTAACCCTAAGAGTGTAGTTGGAGTCAGTCAGTCTAGCAGTGAGTCTGGCCTGGAGTAGCCAAACAGTCTGAAGTCTGGTTCATACAGCCTGTAGAGTTCCCTCCTGGCCACTAGGGGAACCCTGCTGAACCAGTCCTAACCCTAACCCTAAGAGTGTAGTTGGAGTCAGTCAGTCTAGCAGTGAGTCTGGCCTGGAGTAGCCAAACAGTCTGAAGTCTGGTTCATACAGCCTGTAGAGTTCCCTCCTGGCCACTAGGGGAACCCTGCTGAACCAGTCCTAACCCTAACCCTAAGAGTGTAGTTGGAGTCAGTCAGTCTAGCAGTGAGTCTGGCCTGGAGTAGCCAAACAGTCTGAAGTCTGGTTCGTACAGCCTGTAGAGTTCCCTCCTGGCCACTAGGGGAACCCTGCTGAACCAGTCCTAACCCTAACCCTAAGAGTGTAGTTGGAGTCAGTCAGTCTAGCAGTGAGTCTGGCCTGGAGTAGCCAAACAGTCTGAAGTCTGGTTCGTACAGCCTGTAGAGTTCCCTCCTGGCCACTAGGGGAACCCTGCTGAACCAGTCCTAACCCTAACCCTAAGAGTGTAGTTGGAGTCAGTCAGTCTAGCAGTGAGTCTGGCCTGGAGTAGCCAAACAGTCTGAAGTCTGGTTCATACAGCCTGTAGAGTTCCCTCCTGGCCACTAGGGGAACCCTGCTGAACCAGTCCTAACCCTAACCCTAAGAGTGTAGTTGGAGTCAGTCAGTCTAGCAGTGAGTCTGGCCTGGAGTAGCCAAACAGTCTGAAGTCTGGTTCGTACAGCCTGTAGAGTTCCCTCCTGGCCACTAGGGGAACCCTGCTGAACCAGTCCTAACCCTAACCCTAAGAGTGTAGTTGGAGTCAGTCAGTCTAGCAGTGAGTCTGGCCTGGAGTAGCCAAACAGTCTGAAGTCTGGTTCATACAGCCTGTAGAGTTCCCTCCTGGCCACTAGGGGAACCCTGCTGAACCAGTCCTAACCCTAACCCTAAGAGTGTAGTTGGAGTCAGTCAGTCTAGCAGTGAGTCTGGCCTGGAGTAGCCAAACAGTCTGAAGTCTGGTTCATACAGCCTGTAGAGTTCCCTCCTGGCCACTAGGGGAACCCTGCTGAACCAGTCCTAACCCTAACCCTAAGAGTGTAGTTGGAGTCAGTCAGTCTAGCAGTGAGTCTGGCCTGGAGTAGCCAAACAGTCTGAAGTCTGGTTCGTACAGCCTGTAGAGTTCCCTCCTGGCCACTAGGGGAACCCTGCTGAACCAGTCCTAACCCTAACCCTAAGAGTGTAGTTGGAGTCAGTCAGTCTAGCAGTGAGTCTGGCCTGGAGTAGCCAAACAGTCTGAAGTCTGGTTCATACAGCCTGTAGAGTTCCCTCCTGGCCACTAGGGGAACCCTGCTGAACCAGTCCTAACCCTAACCCTAAGAGTGTAGTTGGAGTCAGTCAGTCTAGCAGTGAGTCTGGCCTGGAGTAGCCAAACAGTCTGAAGTCTGGTTCGTACAGCCTGTAGAGTTCCCTCCTGGCCACTAGGGGAACCCTGCTGAACCAGTCCTAACCCTAACCCTAAGAGTGTAGTTGGAGTCAGTCAGTCTAGCAGTGAGTCTGGCCTGGAGTAGCCAAACAGTCTGAAGTCTGGTTCATACAGCCTGTAGAGTTCCCTCCTGGCCACTAGGGGAACCCTGCTGAACCAGTCCTAACCCTAACCCTAAGAGTGTAGTTGGAGTCAGTCAGTCTAGCAGTGAGTCTGGCCTGGAGTAGCCAAACAGTCTGAAGTCTGGTTCGTACAGCCTGTAGAGTTCCCTCCTGGCCACTAGGGGAACCCTGCTGAACCAGTCCTAACCCTAACCCTAAGAGTGTAGTTGGAGTCAGTCAGTCTAGCAGTGAGTCTGGCCTGGAGTAGCCAAACAGTCTGAAGTCTGGTTCATACAGCCTGTAGAGTTCCCTCCTGGCCACTAGGGGAACCCTGCTGAACCAGTCCTAACCCTAACCCTAAGAGTGTAGTTGGAGTCAGTCAGTCTAGCAGTGAGTCTGGCCTGGAGTAGCCAAACAGTCTGAAGTCTGGTTCATACAGCCTGTAGAGTTCCCTCCTGGCCACTAGGGGAACCCTGCTGAACCAGTCCTAACCCTAACCCTAAGAGTGTAGTTGGAGTCAGTCAGTCTAGCAGTGAGTCTGGCCTGGAGTAGCCAAACAGTCTGAAGTCTGGTTCGTACAGCCTGTAGAGTTCCCTCCTGGCCACTAGGGGAACCCTGCTGAACCAGTCCTAACCCTAACCCTAAGAGTGTAGTTGGAGTCAGTCAGTCTAGCAGTGAGTCTGGCCTGGAGTAGCCAAACAGTCTGAAGTCTGGTTCATACAGCCTGTAGAGTTCCCTCCTGGCCACTAGGGGAACCCTGCTGAACCAGTCCTAACCCTAACCCTAAGAGTGTAGTTGGAGTCAGTCAGTCTAGCAGTGAGTCTGGCCTGGAGTAGCCAAACAGTCTGAAGTCTGGTTCGTACAGCCTGTAGAGTTCCCTCCTGGCCACTAGGGGAACCCTGCTGAACCAGTCCTAACCCTAACCCTAAGAGTGTAGTTGGAGTCAGTCAGTCTAGCAGTGAGTCTGGCCTGGAGTAGCCAAACAGTCTGAAGTCTGGTTCATACAGCCTGTAGAGTTCCCTCCTGGCCACTAGGGGAACCCTGCTGAACCAGTCCTAACCCTAACCCTAAGAGTGTAGTTGGAGTCAGTCAGTCTAGCAGTGAGTCTGGCCTGGAGTAGCCAAACAGTCTGAAGTCTGGTTCGTACAGCCTGTAGAGTTCCCTCCTGGCCACTAGGGGAACCCTGCTGAACCAGTCCTAACCCTAACCCTAAGAGTGTAGTTGGAGTCAGTCAGTCTAGCAGTGAGTCTGGCCTGGAGTAGCCAAACAGTCTGAAGTCTGGTTCATACAGCCTGTAGAGTTCCCTCCTGGCCACTAGGGGAACCCTGCTGAACCAGTCCTAACCCTAACCCTAAGAGTGTAGTTGGAGTCAGTCAGTCTAGCAGTGAGTCTGGCCTGGAGTAGCCAAACAGTCTGAAGTCTGGTTCATACAGCCTGTAGAGTTCCCTCCTGGCCACTAGGGGAACCCTGCTGAACCAGTCCTCCTGCCAGCTGCTGGCCGTGTGGTTCCTGTGAGAGGAAGGGAAGTCTACCACGTTGTCCACCTTCAAAACCCTCAGCAGCTGTTCAGCATCCTCCTCAACCGTCTCCAGCTGGCCCACAAAGTCATACTGGGGGGGGAGAGACGGAGAGAAAGTTAACCTTAACACATTGACTAGCTTGACTAGCACGCACAAGCATGTGTCTGTATTGTATTTCTTCTTCTTTTTTAACAGTATCCCTTCCATCTCAAACTGCTCAAATTAACATCAAACCTGGTTTAAAAACCCCGATAAAGCAACACCTCACGGCACAACGCCTCTCCCCTATTTGACCTAGATAGTTTGTGTGCATGTATTGATATGTAGGCTACGTGTGCCATTTCAAAAATGTATGTAGTTCTGTCCTTGAGCTGTTCTTGTCTATTAATGTTCTGGGTTAGGGTTAGGGTTATAATACTTCTTCTTAGACATTGGATAATAATATAGCATTTTGATGTATTACCTGTATTTGACAGGGGTGGCAGAGCCGGTACACCTGTCTCCAGTGCTCGTTGAAGGGGGCGTCGCTCTCCGTTTGGGGGTCCAGTAGGTATTGGACGAACTCTGAGAAGGAGGGGCGGATTCCCGCAGGAAACGCATCGCCCACCGCCACGGGGGGTTCAGAGTGGTTACCATAGCGACGGAGCATGAGCAGAGCGAATCGCTGGTAGAAGTCCTCGTTGGGCTGCTCAAACTTGTTCCGATACGCTGAGATGAGACGGACGAACGGATCTCTGACAAACAGGAACTTGGTGTACTTCTGGAGCTTCACCTTGAAAACAAACAAACCACCTTTATTAAACCAACTTCAAAACAAATATCCAGTGCATTCGGAAAGTATCCACATTTTGTTTCGTTACAGCCTTATTCTTATTAATGTTTTAATCCTTAATCAATCTACACACAACATCCCATAATGACAAAGTGAAAACAGGTTTTTATTTATTTTTTGCAAATGTATAAAACATAAAAAACAGAAATACCTTATTTACATAAGTATTCAGACCCTTTGCTATGAGACTCGAAAATTGAGCTCAGGTGCATCCTGTTTCCATTGATCATCCTTGAGATGTTTCTACAACTTGATTGGTGTCCACCTGTGGTAAATTCAATTGATTGGACATGATTTGGAAAGGCACACACCTGTCTATATAAGGTCCCACAGTTGACAGTGCATGTCAGAGCAAAAACCAAGCCATGAGGTCGAAGGAATTGTCCGTACAGCTCCGAGACAGGATTGTGTCGAGGCACAGATCTGGGGAAGGGTACCAAAAAATGTCTGCAGCGTTGAAGGTCCCCAAGAACACAGTGGCCTCCATCATTCTTAAATGGAAGAAGTTTGGAACCACCAAGACTCTTCCTAGAGCTGGCCGCCTGGCCAAACTGAGCAATCGGGGGAGAAGGGCCTTTGGTCAGGGAGGTGACCAAGAACCCGATGGTCACTCTGACAGAGCTCCAGAGTTCCTCTGTGGAGATGGGAGAACCTTCCAGAAGGACAACCATCTCTGCAGCACTCCACCAATCAGGCCTTTATGGTAGAGTGGCCAGACGGAAGCCACTCCTCAGTAAAAGGCCAATGACAGCCCTCTTGGAGTTTAACAAAAGGCACCTAAAGACTCTCAGACCATGAGAAACAAGATTCTCTGGTCTGATGAAACCAAGATTAAACTATTTGGCCTGAAAGCCAAGTGTCACATCTGGAGGAAACCTGGCACCATCCCTATGGTGAAGCATGGTGGTGGCAGCTTCATGCTGTGGGGATGTTTTCCAGCAGCAGGAACTGCGAGACTCGTCAGGATCGAGGCAAAGATGAACGGAGCAAAGTACAGAGAGATCCTTGATGAAAACCTGCTCCAGAGCGCTCAGGACCTCAGACTGGGGCGAAGGTTCACCTTCCAACAGGACAACGACCCTAAGCACACAGCCAAGACAACGCAGGAGAGGCTTCGGGACAAGTCTCTGAATGTCCTTGAGTGGCCCAGCCAGAGCCCGGACTTGAACCCAATCGAAAATCTCTGGAGAGACCTGAAAATAGCTGTGCAGCGACGCTCCCCATCCAACCTGACAGAGCTTGAGAGGATCTGCAGAGAAGAATAGGACAAACTCCCCAAATACAGGTGTGCCAAGCTTGTAGCGTCATACCCCAAGAAGACTCGAGGCTGTAATCGCTGCCAAAGGTGCTTCAACAAAGTACTGAGTAAAGGGTCTGAATACTTTATAATAAATATTATTAATAAATGTGCACAATTGTCTAAAAACCAGTTGTTGCTTTGTCATTATGGGGAATAAGGCTAAACCCTAACCCTTAAAGTCAAGGGGTCTGAATACTTTCCCAATACACAGTATACATCACTTTCACCTTTATGTAATACATTCAACCAAATGTAAAGAGCTGTGAACTGACAATCATCAGGGTTAGTGTCAGCTGTGAACTGAACATCATCGGGGTTAGTGTCAGCTGTGAACTGAACATCATCAGGGTTAGTGTCAGCTGTGAACTGAACATCATCAGGGTTAGTGTCAGCTGTGAACTGAACATCATCAGGGTTAGTGTCAGCTGTGAACTGAACATCATCAGGGTTAGTGTCAGCTGTGAACTGAACATCATCAGGGTTAGTGTCAGCTGTGAACTGAACATCATCGGGGTTAGTGTCAGCTGTGAACTGAACATCATCAGGGTTAGTGTCAGCTGTGAACTGAACATCATCAGGGTTAGTGTCAGCTGTGAACTGAACATCATCGGGGTTAGTGTCAGCTGTGAACTGACCAACATCAGGGTTAGTGTCAGCTGTGAACTGAACATCATCAGGGTTAGTGTCAGCTGTGAACTGAACATCATCAGGGTTAGTGTCAGCTGTGAACTGAACATCATCGGGGTTAGTGTCAGCTGTGAACTGAACATCATCAGGGTCAGTGTCAGCTGTGAACTGAACATCATCGGGGTTAGTGTCAGCTGTGAACTGAACATCATCGGGGTTAGTGTCAGCTGTGAACTGAACATCATCAGGGTTAGTGTCAGCTGTGAACTGAACATCATCGGGGTTAGTGTCAGCTGTGAACTGACCAACATCAGGGTTAGTGTCAGCTGTGAACTGAACATCATCAGGGTCAGTGTCAGCTGTGAACTGAACATCATCGGGGTTAGTGTCAGCTGTGAACTGAACATCATCAGGGTTAGTGTCAGCTGTGAACTGAACATCATCAGGGTTAGTGTCAGCTGTGAACTGAACATCATCGGGGTTAGTGTCAGCTGTGAACTGACCAACATCAGGGTTAGTGTCAGCTGTGAACTGAACATCATCAGGGTTAGTGTCAGCTGTGAACTGAACATCATCAGGGTTAGTGTCAGCTGTGAACTGAACATCATCGGGGTTAGTGTCAGCTGTGAACTGAACATCATCAGGGTCAGTGTCAGCTGTGAACTGAACATCATCGGGGTTAGTGTCAGCTGTGAACTGAACATCATCAGGGTTAGTGTCAGCTGTGAACTGACTAACATCAGGGTTAGTGTCAGCTGTGAACTGAACATCATCGGGGTCAGTGTCAGCTGTGAACTGAACATCATCGGGGTTAGTGTCAGCTGTGAACTGAACATCATCAGGGTTAGTGTCAGCTGTGAACTGAACATCATCAGGGTTAGTGTCAGCTGTGAACTGAACATCATCAGGGTCAGTGTCAGCTGTGAACTGAACATCATCGGGGTTAGTGTCAGCTGTGAACTGAACATCATCAGGGTTAGTGTCAGCTGTGAACTGAACATCATCAGGGTTAGTGTCAGCTGTGAACTGAACATCATCGGGGTTAGTGTCAGCTGTGAACTGACCAACATCAGGGTTAGTGTCAGCTGTGAACTGAACATCATCAGGGTTAGTGTCAGCTGTGAACTGAACATCATCAGGGTTAGTGTCAGCTGTGAACTGAACATCATCGGGGTTAGTGTCAGCTGTGAACTGAACATCATCAGGGTCAGTGTCAGCTGTGAACTGAACATCATCGGGGTTAGTGTCAGCTGTGAACTGAACATCATCAGGGTTAGTGTCAGCTGTGAACTGACTAACATCAGGGTTAGTGTCAGCTGTGAACTGACTAACATCAGGGTTAGTGTCAGCTGTGAACTGAACATCATCAGGGTTAGTGTCAGCTGTGAACTGAACATCATCGGGGTTAGTGTCAGCTGTGAACTGAACATCATCAGGGTTAGTGTCAGCTGTGAACTGAACATCATCGGGGTTAGTGTCAGCTGTGAACTGAACATCATCAGGGTTAGTGTCAGCTGTGAACTGAACATCATCAGGGTTAGTGTCAGCTGTGAACTGAACATCATCAGGGTTAGTGTCAGCTGTGAACTGACCAACATCAGGGTTAGTGTCAGCTGTGAACTGAACATCATCGGGGTTAGTGTCAGCTGTGAACTGAACATCATCGGGGTTAGTGTCAGCTGTGAACTGAACATCATCAGGGTTAGTGTCAGCTGTGAACTCACCAACATCAGGGTTAGAGTTAAGAGGTAAGAGGTTAGAAGTGAACTGACCTTCATCAGGTGTCGTGAGAACTTCCCGTAGCGTTTCCAGAACTTGTTGAAGGTGAAGTGGAGGCTGCTGTTGTGGACCATCTCCTGAGGAACCGCCAGAGGGTCCCTGTATGGAACTCCCTCCTGGAGCAGACTCTCACTGAGCACGATCATGATCCTCTTCCAGTTACTACACGCCACCTACAGTCAAAATATAGATTGATTTATTATGGATCCCCATTAGTTCCTGCCAAGGC